GTACGAGCACCGTCGGGACGCGCGGCAGCAGTACCCACTGCAGGCGAAGAACCACCAGCACCAGCAGCACGCCTCTAGCGCCTGGTAAACCACTCACGCAGCTCCTGTGGGGAGAGTGGCTCCCGGCGAGACGAAGCACCCCCAGGCACAGTACCCCCAGGCTCAGCACCCCCAGGCTCAGCACCCCCAGGCTCAGCACCCCCAGGCTCAGCACCCCCAGGCGCAGCACCCCCAGGCTCAGCACCCCCAGGCTCAGCACCCCCAGGCACAGCACCCCCAGGCTCAGCACCCCCAGACTCAGCACCCCCAGGCACAGCACCCCCAGGCTCAGCACCCCCAGACTCCGCACCCCCAGGCTCAGCTCCCGCAGCAGCACCAGAGTCACCAGTGACCTCGACAGGCTCGACCGCGTCTACCTGGGACACACCTGAAGGGGCAGGACCCTGAGGGGGGAGGGGGACTACCGGGGGGGGACCTGGTACCAAGAAGAGCGGGGGAGGGGGGAGGGACGGAGTGCGGTAGGGGAAGAGGCGGTAGTAGGGTACCGACTCGTCGAACGTGACGTCCTGGGAGGACAGAACACGTCGAGAGGTGGGGTGGTAAAACTGCCACCCAGGGGCGTCGGGGGGGAACCCCAGGAAGACGCAGGGAGAAGCACGAGGGGACAGCTTGTCCGCAGTCAGGTCGCGAACAAACGCCCGAGATCCCCAGACCCGGAACGCCGACGCATCGCCAACCTTCCCCGTCCACAGCAGGGCTGGGGAGGTCTCCGGTCGAGAGACCCTGGGGTGGAGGTTGATCTGGTGCGCAGCGTACCTGACCGCAAACGGCCACAGAAAATGGGGAGCAGCCGCATGCATCATGGACGTACGAGCGACGTCCATGACCATGCCAATGCGGCGCTCAGCAATCCCATTCTGCTGTGGTGAGTCCGGAAGCGTGAAGGTCTGACGGATGCCTCGCGCACGACAGTAGGCACTCAGGAGGCCAGAGGAGAACTCTCCGCCTCTGTCCGAGTGCAGACGCAAAACAGGGAAGTCAGAGCCAAAGCTCCTCCGAAGCTGGAGACGAGCTGCGCGGATCCAGTCGATCAACACCGCAGTGACCTCACCCTTGCTGCGCAAAGGGAAGACTGTGGTGTAACGCGAGTAGTCGTCAACCACCAGCAGGAAGTAGCGCTCCTGACCCTGTCCACGGACGCGGGCTGGGCCCCACACGTCCATGTGAAGCGTCTGCAACGGGGCCTCTGTCGGAGGAAACTGGGAGGAGTGAGGGGCAGCACGCTGGCGCCCCTCGACACAGGGGACACAGGCAGGGCCAGGGCCCGGAGGAAAGGGAGGGAGGGACTGGGGAAGACCAGACACAAGTACCCGCGAGGCCATGCCTCTGAGCCGGAGCAGAGAGGGGTGGCCAAGGCGGTGGTGCCAGAGGAGGGTCTCGTGAGACAGACGACGACACGAACAGGGGGCAGACTCAGGACCAGACCTGGACGCTGCAGCAAACACCTGACCAGACGAGGGGACCCTACCAGACGCAGTACCTGGAGGAGAAGCAGTGGTCAGTGTGTACAGGCTCGACCCTGGCCGACGTGTAAACGTAGCCAGGTGACGACCGGTATCCGCCTCCGTACAGTGGGTCACCCGCTGACGAGCAGGGGTGAACTGGTGGACACCTGCATCCTGGAGGTCAGCACCACTCACCAAGTTCGTCGAGAACGAGGGGAGGTAGAGACCAGTCAGGGTGCCAGAGGGGGCCGCCGGACACGGGAGGACAGTGGAGAAGCGAGACAGGACAGGTCCCCCAGAGGGGTCAGCCAGGGACACCGCAACCGGTCGACTCAGCGGCGTGAGAGTGGTGCGGTCCCTAAAGAAGGAGCGAGACGCTCCAGAGTCAAGGGTGAAGGTGTGAGAGGCCGAAGCCGACACAGTACCTGAGAGGGCGGACTCACCAGCACCTGAGAGCACAGACGTACTGGCACCTAGAGCAGCAGCCTCACTAGTACCTGACGCGGCAGTACCAATGCCCGGGTCGGGCGGGAAACACCGGTAACAGTCATCCTCATCACTACCAGTCACAGCATACATAGCAGAGAGAATAGCATCAAAGTCAAGATCATAAATAGCTACTCCAGCCCTAGACAGCTCTCCCCAGCGGGGGATCTCAGCGGCCTCCGGAAACTGCTGACGCCAGGCGTCGGTCAGGCGGCCAAAGCAGCGACGGGCTGTGTGGGCGCCTCCACACCTCTCCCCTGCACGGTCACCGGTGCGAAGAACGTAGGGGCAGGGACCAAGCGCACCACCGCGCTGACGCTGCAAGTACCACTCACGGAGCTGCTGAGGGCCGGGGACGGTGCGAGAGCGCTGCTGCTGCTGCGGCTGCTGGTGCTGCTGCTGCTGCTGCTGCTGCTGCTGGCGCTGACCACCCCCAGAGCTGCTCCGCTGGGACGAGCCACTCCGACCCCCGCCTCCACCGCCACCCCCGCCTCCACCGCCACCCCCGTCTCCACCGCCACCTCCCCCACCAGGACCGTCGCTCCCACCGCTCCCACCGCCTCCTCCGCTACCACCTCCACCGCCACCTCCGCCTCCACCGCCGCCACCAGTACCTCCACTCCCGCCACCACCCCCACCGCCACCCCCACTCCCCCCTCCACCCCCACCGCCTCCTCCACCGCCCCCTCTAGCTCCACCCGCTCCCTTGCCCCCCTTGCCCTTGCCAGAGCGGCGTCTGCCGCTGGGGGCAGACGCCGCGCCGACCGACTCAAAACCAGCGAGGTCGGCCGCAGCGGCAGAGGCTACAGAGGGCAGCAGGGGGGAAGGACCACACCCCTCAAAGATGGGGGTGCGAGGGTCACCCCGAGAGGCCCCTACAGCGACAATACTCTTCTCAGCCGCTAGCAGGGACTCCTCAAGGAGGTCGACAGTGAGAGTGGTGGGACAGACAGAGAGAAACTGGTCCCTAACGACACGAAGGGACTCAGGGAGACGGGTGACGAGAAAGTAGAGAGTGATGTACATGGGAGGAGGGTTGGCAGCGCGGAACTCAGCAGGAAGGGCAGCGCGGTAGCGGGTGTCACTAGCGCGGAGGTGGGTAACGAGGTCAGCAACAGTGGGAAAGGAAGCGAGGTCAGGGAAGAGAAACGGTAGCATGAGGCGGCTAAGGGTAGCGGAGGAAGGGGAGGAGTAGCGTGCAACTACAGCGTCATACAGGGCCTGAGCGGTCTTGCACTGACTAAAGTGGGCACGCTCAGAGGAAGGGAGGTGGCGACGCACAGCAAGACGTGCAGCAGCATCGCGGGTCGCCCACTTGGAGCGAGCAGCAGAGTCAGCATCAGCAGGCGGGGCAGGGACAGCGCCAGAGACAAAGTCAAAGAGAGAGACCTCATCTATCGCATCACACAGTAAGTACAGCTGCAGGTCTTCAATCCAGACGGCAAAGTCAATGGCCCTCCCCTCAGCGTCAAAAGTAAGAACATTGGGGGTGGCCATGGCAGCAGCTGAAAGTCTCACCGGGCTAGGAGAGTCGGGTAGGACAGCAGCAGGCAGCTCGGGCTGGGTCGGGCGGCTCGGGCGGCTCGGGCGGCTCGGGCGGCTCGGGTAGCTCGGGTACCGGGCGGCTCGGCTGCTGCTGGGCGGCTCGGCTGCTGCTGGGCGGCTCGGCTGCGGCTGGGCGGCTCGGCTGCTGCTGGGCGGCGCGGCTGCTGCTGGGCGGCTCAGCTGCTGCTGGGCGGCTCGGCTGCGGCTGGGCGGCTCGGCTGCTGCTGGGCGGCTCGGCTGCGGCTGGGCGGCTCGGCTGCTGCTGGGCGGCGCGGCTGCTGCTGGGCGGCTCAGCTGCTGCTGGGCGGCTCGGCTGCGGCTGGGCGGCTCGGCTGCTGCTGGGCGGCTCGGCGGGGCCGTCAGGGTGCAGCTGCGGGGCCGGGACAGGGGACGGCGGAGCCGTCAGGTGGCGGGCCAGCAGGTGAGGTGGCGAGCCGTCGGGTGAGGCGGCGGGGCCGTCAGGTCAGGTGGCGGGCCAGCAGGTGAGGCGGCGGGGCCGTCAGGTCAGGTGGCGGGCCAGCGGGTGAGGCGGCGGGCCGTCAGGTGAGGTGGCGGGCCAGCAGGTCAGGCGGCGGGCCGTCAGGTGAGGCGGCGGGGCCGTCAGGTCAGGTGGCGGGCCAGTAGGTGAGGCGGCGGGCCGTCAGGTGAGGCGGCGGGGCCGTCAGGTAAGGTGGCGGCGGGCCGTCAGGTGAGGCGGCGGGGCCGTCAGGTAAGGTGGCGGGCCAGCAGGTGAGACGGTGGGCCGTCAGGTGAGGCGGCAGGGCCGTCTGGTGAGGTGGCGGGCCAGAAGTCGAGGCGGCGGGCCGTCAGGTGAGGCGGCGGCCGTCAGGTAAGGCGGCTGCGGGGCCGACAGAGGTGCAGCGGGGGGGGGGGGGGGGGCCTGCTGCAGCGACGAAGAGGCCGCGCGGCCGTCTGGAGGGCGGCGCGGCGCGGCAGAGCCGAGAGGGCGGCGCGGCGCGGCTGTAAGGGCCGCGCGAAGTGGGGCCTGGGCCGCGCGCGCGAAAAAAAATGAGTCGCGCGCGCGACTCTCGGGGCGCCACAAGGGCAGCTCGACGCGCACTAGGGGGAGCGCGCCTCGGGGAGAATAGGGCGCGCTCCGGGCAGGAAAAAAAAATCGTGGGTGGGCCCAAAGAACGGTCCTTAGGAGGGACCCGCTCTATACCATGTGAAACTAACAGAACAGGAATGAATTGACTAAGTCAGAGTTGGGTACAAATACAACCCTAGCAAACTGTACCCCATATGTGCTACCCCACTATAGCCTACAAACATGCATCAGCCATAATAATCTGACACTAACTAAACTACTATACTGTATCTGTCTTTCGCACGTAACGGTATGAGCGTGCGTTAACAACGAACCCAAAAATTCGGCTAGTGGACCGTTCATATGCGCGTTGTGTTTCGACCAGTCACGTGTTCATGTGTATATGACCGGTCATATACGCGGGAGCATATGCGCAGTCATCTGTGCGTGTGTGTATTACTGGTCAAGTGCCGATGCATCCGTTCTGCCATCTCTGCTCTCCACTCCCTATCCTCCACCTCATCACCAATCACATCGACCTCAGGTGGTTTCCTTATCTCATTGCCACAAGGGATCTCATGCCCTGCTGCCGTGAGCTCGCCGATCAGCCGACCCTCTGCAAGAGCGCACACATCATCCCGTAACCCACGACGGTACGCCAATGGGCTCATGCTGAACCGCACCCCATTCTCAGCACCTTCGAAGCACGCCTCCACAAGCGCATGAATGTACTGGCAGACGAAGATGCCGCAGTAAAAAACGTTCTGCTGCAGAGGCATCTGCCACGCCTGCAATACACAATAGGCACATGGAGCGTAAAGAATAGCGGACAGGCGTGACCATGGTGCATCATTTGTTAAACGGGGTTTGTTGAATGTACTATGTCACAAACGCACCGTGCACGAAGAGTTAAATCTCTGCACGGTCATGGGTACACAATGATGACTAAATTCATATTCTATGCATTCCCGATTAGAGAGTCGTAATGCAGTGCCGACACAGCTCTCCAGCCTACTGCATGACACCATATGCGTGAATACATGTTTCTATATCAACTTACGGAGCATCACAACATATCTGTGGGAGTTTTGACCTATACAACCATTATTTCATTGTATTTATAGCACTAACTAAACTACTATACTGTATCTGTCTTTCGCACGTAACGGTATGAGCGTGCGTTAACAACGAACCCAAAAATTCGGCTAGTGGACCGTTCATATGCGCGTTGTGTTTCGACCAGTCACGTGTTCATGTGTATATGACCGGTCATATATGCGGGAGCATATGCGCAGTCATCTGTGCGTGTGTGTATTACTGGTCAAGTGCCGATGCATCCGTTCTGCCATCTCTGCTCTCCACTCCCTATCCTCCACCTCATCACCAATCACATCGACCTCAGGTGGTTTCCTTATCTCATTGCCACAAGGGATCTCATGCCCTGCTGCCGTGAGCTCGCCGATCAGCCGACCCTCTGCAAGAGCGCACACATCATCCCGTAACCCACGACGGTACGCCAATGGGCTCATGCTGAACCGCACCCCATTCTCAGCACCTTCGAAGCACGCCTCCACAAGCGCATGAATGTACTGGCAGACGAAGATGCCGCAGTAAAAAACGTTCTGCTGCAGAGGCATCTGCCACGCATGCAATACACAATAGGCACATGGAGCGTAAAGAATAGCGGACAGGCGTGACCATGGTGCATCATTTGTTAAACGGGGTTTGTTGAATGTACTATGTCACAAACGCACCGTGCACGAAGAGTTAAATCTCTGCACGGTCATGGGTACACAATGATGACTAAATTCATATTCTATGCATTCCCGATTAGAGAGTCGTAATGCAGTGCCGACACAGCTCTCCAGCCTACTGCATGACACCATATGCGTGAATACATGTTTCTATATCAACTTACGGAGCATCACAACATATCTGTGGGAGTTTTGACCTATACAACCATTATTTCATTGTATTTATAGCACTAACTAAACTACTATACTGTATCTGTCTTTCGCACGTAACGGTATGAGCGTGCGTTAACAACGAACCCAAAAATTTGGCTAGTGGACCGTTCATATGCGCGTTGTGTTTCGACCAGTCACGTGTTCATGTGTATATGACCGGTCATATACGCGGGAGCATATGCGCAGTCATCTGTGCGTGTGTGTATTACTGGTCAAATGCGGTATACTATAGGGCCATTCAATTGTTCGAGAGTATATTATTGGTCAGGAGCGTAAAGTTATATGACTGGTCATATGTGGGATCATTAATCTTTTTTCTTGGCAGTCACCAATATTCATCTAGAAGCAAAGAACAAGCAGCCTACCACAGTCCCTATTATTCAAGACTAAGCACGTTATTGCACCCCCCCATTAGTTTGCTACATGATACACCTCTGACCCCCCATATTTTCCCTTACACTTCTTCCTGGTATACTGAGTAGACCCACAGTCGCCACACTTGTATGTCCACTTTGGTGCTTCACGCCTTCGGTTAGATTGTGGCCGCCCTGATCCTCTCTGCACAAAAACGGGGGGATCACAAACTCCCCCCTCAACGGGCTTGGTCTCTGCAATGACCGTGTCTATACACGAATACGGAATGAGCGCCGAGTACGTCCTTCTCCAATTGTTCGTCTTCCAATACCTGGTGATCAAGGGGATAACATCCATTTGCCTATCCCGTAAGTGTGCAAACGCATGAGAACAGGGAAACCGATATTCTTGCCAGTTCTTGCACTCGCACATTCTCTCTCCCACATCATTGTTGAAGGAGAGAGGACGTCGATCCAACGCGCTCCCCTTGTTCCGAACCATTGCCTTGCTTGGACCATTTCGTGTGACCCTGTATCCTCGGCTTCGGTTCTGTTTCAGATCAAACCGCTTCTCAGCTTCAACCGTCAATGCATGCTGCCAGTTGGATGACTTCCGCTGCCCATCCGAGTAGATTTTTGCCATCCAATCCCACATGCCCGCCATTACGTAAGATACCGGCAAGATGCGGATCTTCTTAATGGCGTTGTTGATGGACTCCACCATCTGGCTGCTGTAGATGCCAAACCGACATATGAGGGCATAACACCGTGCCCATTGCTTGATGAATATTGTGATTTTTTTCCTCCTCTTGTTTCTCGGTCCATCCTGGCCCGTGCGCACAATAATGGCCGCCCCTTCCTCCATGGTGTCACTGTCCACCCGCTCAGCATCCGCATTGCCCAAGCCCCCCAGTCCCGTTTGTCGTCCGTGGTTGACGTCCGTGGCCTCTGCGGCGTCGTTGGCCTGACCCATGTCTGTCTTAACACCCTGCTGCGGTGTTGGCTGACGCGCACTTTGGCTCCCTTGCGTTGGCAGCCGTGCTACTGGTGTTCCAGCTCGTTCCCGCCCTCTTGCACCTGCCTCTCTTGCATTTCGCCTTCCCCTAATAATTTCCATCTGCCGTTGGCTTCTCATGGCCGCTTGTTGCGCTGTTGTGGTGGATAGAGGATGAGTTGCAGTATTGGTGGATTGGGAGCTGTGACCCATGTCTGCACGCTCCTCATCCTCATCAGGCCCCGGCTCCTCCCCGCAGCTGATTTGGCTCCCATCCTCCACGTCAAAGTGCTCCTTGAACACTTCTTCTGTGGTATCTGCCTCGGCCTCACTATCGGATATGGTTGTAGCTCTATCTCTTGCATTCTCGCCTGCCAAAGAAGGGTGCTCTATCTCTCTATCGGACGTGGTTGCTGTGACACGTTCAAGTGGATGCACGTTGTCAGCAGCCGTAGATTGAGGCTGCATGTCACTAGGGCGGTCACGCGTAAGATTTGCAGTTGGCATGGGTCCGAACCCATGGTCCCTATAGGGCGTCTGAGATGGTTGCTGCTGAGATGGCTGCTGCTGGGATGATGGCTGTTGGGATGGTTGCTGCTGATGTACCCTTCTCTGATTTGACGGTGTTTGCTGAGATGGTGGCTGCTGAAATGGTCGTTGCTCAGATGGTGTCTGCTGAGAAGGTGCCTGCTATGATGGTGCCTGCTGTGATGGTGCCTGCTGCTGTCCCCTGCGACCACTCCTCATTTGCCGCCGCACTTCCGTCCTTGCCATTCTCGCTCTTCTTGCGGCACCCGTGCGGCTTCCAAACCCATCCCCTGCCTCTGGCTCCCGTGCACGCTGGTTGGCCCCGCGTCCGCCGCGGGTCTGCTGCGCACTAGTCTCCTCGACCCCAAAGAGATAGTTAGCCATTCCAGCACATTCGGCCCGGCATCTCCTCACGAGTTTGCCAAACTTCCGCTTGGTGCGGCAGTTGGCGAGCTTCTTGAAGAGTTCAGAGGCGTTAGGGCCAAACTTGAGCACATTCTGTTCCAAGTGCCAGCTGCAAAAGTAGTGGGGGAACTGGGATGGGAAAACTTCTTTAACCGCCGGTATTAACCCCTTGTCACGATCGCTGATGAGGGAGGCATCCTGGGTGTCCGGCCACGACGGAAAATGCTTCAACAAGTTCGCACAAAACCACATCCAACTATCTTTGTTCTCACTCTCGCACAGGCCATAAGCAAGTGGAACAAGCTGGTTATTTCCATCCTTAGCAGCTGCTACCAAGAGCGTGGCCCGCTGCGCACGAATGAGAAATGTACCATCCATACCAATGACTGGTCGACAGAACCTTAGAGCTGTTCATGACGCCGATGGGGCGACAAAAGCCCGGAAGAAAGCGTGATCCTTTGTCACCAGGTCGAGCGTTGAATGTGGGTCTATCTCTTTGAACCGTTCCAAGACCCGCGGAATGTAGCGAAAAGAAGTTTTCCAATCTCCAAAACGTTCCTTCAACATCTTTTCCTTTAGCCTGCAGAAACAGACGACGGTGTACAAGAAAACAGAAGCAGGTACCCACAAACATGAGGTGGATGGGGCGATTAAGAACGTGCATGTGACAATGGCGGTCATGTGGATCGAACGTTTGGAAACGTACCGCCATGATTGCTGATAATATATATCGGGACCACCAGTAGACGCAATCTGTTCCTTGTACGTCCCGGGAGGGTGATGTGGTGCAGCTTGGACAAGATTGCCGTGATGACGCTGCAGATATGACACTTTATTTGTCGTGTGTTGCACGTAGCGGTCCCGATCAACGACTGAGCAGCAATGGGATGATGGGGCGGACAGTTTGTCAACACGCCAAAACCCACCCACTCCGTCAGTAGAGTACTCACACCGCCACCGGCACGCAGGTTTACGACGCTCATGTTTACTCATGCATATGGCCTGGGCTCTGTTTCGCCTACTCCTCGTAACCCTAAAACCAAAGTTGCAAGCTACCGAATAGTGCTCTAGTGCTTCGTACAAAAATTTCTTAGAGGAGTATAGCTGACCTTCACACAACGGTGCTCGATCGTCTATGACGATTTGTGGCGATGGGGCCTCGTCGACGACCATTTCCCGCAGCAACGCACGGTACATATCACTTTGTTTGGGCTCTCCGGTTCCAACGAAGCAAAACTCTGTGTCCTCATCCCCTGAGTCGGACTCTGTGTTACAAGTATAAGACGTCGAACTCATTGCGGTTAATATGAACGTTATAACCGTAGGACCTCCCAGATGAACCTCCTTTAAGGACCTAACTGGTCTAATCAAGGGCTAAGGTAGATGTGAACCCTAAAACGACGAGAGGAAATGGTGTGAGCAATCTGTAGCATATGGATCAAATTATGAAGCGCGGGAAGTTGAAAAGGGCATACCAAACCAGTTTGAGCGCGTTAATTCGAACCTTTTGTGCGAGACTATTTAGTATATGATTGGCGGGATCATATAGTAAATTGTGTTTAATGAACGCGTTCAAATATGATCGGCAATCCGTAAATCTTGTGCCTGATTAGACGCGCAGTGGCAACAAATGCACCACTCAATCTCCTGACCAATCGAGCGCGGTCGTTTTGCTGTTTCGGTTCGTTTCGGGTGAAATGCAGTATATGATCGCGAAGTCATATGCTCGATCGCTGATTGGATGTTAACTAGATGGACCGCGCGCTCATTGGTCGTGCATTTGGCCGAAATTGACCGGTCAATGTACTGTTGGTCGGTTTCTTGTACAGTGGGCGGGCCACTTTCGCGTCCGTGAGCCTGGCGAAATTTTAAGTTGCGGAACAGAACGGAACACTACCTAGGGATACCACTCGCACGAATAAGGAATTTCGGGGCTACAAATCCCCGTAGGGTAATTCGCCGGTGAAAAAAAAGCGAGCAGGAATCCCCTGGCGTGGCCACTCGAGTAATTATCACCCAATTTCGTGGCCACTCGAGTAAATCGAGGCCCCCCGAGAGAGGACAAATCACCCGATTGGCCACTGGAGAAATGTCAGATTTATATGACATAGTTGCTGTAGGCTATAGTGGGGTAGCACATATGGGGTACAGGGTTTCTAGGGTTGTATTTGTACCCAATCTTTCCTTAGTCATTCCCATTCCTGTTTCTTGTTTCACATGGTATAGAGCGGGTCCTTCCTAAGGACCGTTTTTTTAGGGCCCACCGAAGCGTGCCCCGAGGCGCGCATTTTCTTTTAGCGACCCCTCGGGTCGCCATTTCCCTCGCGGCCCCGCTGCCCCTCCTGATCGCGGCCCCGCCGCCTGCTTGACGCGGCCCCGCCGCCTCCACTGACGCGGCCCAGCCGCCTGCTTGACGCGGCCCCGCCGCCTCCACTGTCGCGGCCCCGCCGCCTGCTCTGACGCGGCCCTGCCGGCCCGCCGCTGCACCTGACGGCCCCGCCGCTGCACCTGCCGGCCCGCCGCTGCACCCTACGGCCCGCCGCTGCACCCTACGGCCCGCCGCCTCACCTGCCGGCCCCGCCGCTACGCCTGCCGGCCCGCCGCTGCACCCTACGGCCCGCCGCTGCGCCCAGCGGCCCGCCGCTTCACCTGGCGGCCCAGCCGCTGCACCTACGGCCCGCCGCTGCACCCAGCGGCCCGCCGCTTCACCTGACGGCCCCGCCGCTGCACCTACCGGCCCGCCGCTGCACCCTACGGCCCCGCCGCTGCACCTGCTGGCCCGCCGTTGCACCGGTCGACCCGCCGCTGCACCTGACGGCCCCGCCCCTGCAACTCCCGGCCGAGCCGCCCCAGCAGCAGAGCCGCCCCAGCAGCCGAGCCGCCCCAGCCGCCGAGCCGCCCCAGCAGCCGAGCTGCCCCAGCAGCGGAGCCGCCCCAGCAGCCGAGCCGCCCCAGCTGCAGTGCCGCCCGACCCGCCCGAGCCGCCGCGTTGCCCGAGCCGCCCAGCAGTCGAGCCGCCCGAGCCGCCAGAGCCGCCCGAGCCGCCCAGGCCGCCCGAGCCGCCCGAGCCCTCCCTGCACTGCCTTGTCTGGTGAGCACTGAGCTTTACTCTGCGCACTGCCCTCTCTCTACTGCTGTCATGGCTACCCCCAGTGTCCTCGCCTTTGACGGGCAGAGCCATTGACTTTGACGTGTGGGTAGACGACCTACTGCTTTTCCTACAGTGCGACAGAGCTGACGGCCTCTCTCTCTTTGATCTCACTTCTGGTGCCTCTCCCGCCCCTGCTGCTACTGAGGATGCCACTGTTTGCTCAGTGTGGGCCACACGCGATGCTGCTGCACGTCTTGCTGTGCGTCGCCACCTCCCTCCCGCTGAGCGTGCGCACTTTGGGTCGTACAAGAGTGCTAAGACCTTGTACGACGCCGTTATCGCACGCTACTCCACCCCTGCCACTGCTGCACTGAGCCGCCTCATGCTACCGTACCTCTTTCCCGACCTTGCTGCTTTTGCCACAGTCGCCGACCTCATTACCCACCTGCGCACTAGTGACGCTCGTTTCCGCGCTGCACTTCCTGCTGAGTTCTGCGCCAAGAACCCCCCCCCCCAGTACTTCACTCTCTACTACATTGTCACCCGCCTCCCTGACTCCCTTCGCGGAGTCAGGGACGACCTACTCGCAGTCTGCCCCACCACTCTCACTGTCGAGATCCTCGAGAAGTCCCTCCTAGCAGCCGAGAAGAGCATTCTCGCTGTAGGGGCCTCTCGTGGTGACCCGCGCGCCCCCATCTTTGAGGGGTGTTCCCCCTCCCCCCTCCTGCCCTCTGTCGCCTCTGCTGCTACGGCCGACCTTGTTGGTTTTGAGTCGGTCGGAGCGGCGTCTGCCCCCAGCGGGAGACGTCGCTCTGGCAAGAGCAAGGGGGGCAGGGGCGGTGGTGGAGGCAGCGGGGGCGGTGGAGGCGGAGGTAGAGGCAGCGGTGGAGGTGAGGGTGGTAGCGGGAGTGTCGGCGGGAGTGGAGGTGTCGGCGGAGGCAGTGGAGGCGGGGGCGGCAGCGGCGGTGGTAGTGGGGGTGGAGGCGGAGGCGGCGGTGGCGGCGGCGACGGTGGGAGTGGCGGTGGCGGTGGAGGTGGTGGCGGCGGCGGCGGAGGAGGCGGTGGGGGTCGTGGCGCGCCGAGGAGGAGTGGCTCCGGTGGTGGTCAGCGCCAGCAGCAGCAGCGTGGTCAGGAGACCCTCTCCCCGCAGCAGCTCCGTGAGTGGTACTCTGCGCGTCAGCGGGGTGGGGGTACTGGTCCGTGCACTTACGTCCTGCGCACTGGCGACCGTGCGGGTGAGCAGTGTGGTGGTCCACACTCCGCCCAGCGTTGCTTCGGCCGCCTGACTGACGCTTGGCGCCGCCAGTTTCCTGACGCCTCTGAGATCCCTCGCTGGGACCAGCTGTCTAGGGCTGGAGTAGCTATCTTTGATCTTGACTTTGATGCTATTCTTGCTGCTATGTATGCTGTGACTATTAGTGAGGAGGGTGACTGTTACCGGTGTTTCCCGCCCGACCCGGGCATTGGTACTGCGGCTCTAGGT